ATTCACTCAAAATGGTCCCTCTGGGTCCGCCGTGGGGCGCGACGCGACCAGGAGGAGGAGGGGGGGGAGAAGGAGGAGGGGGAGGAGGAGGAGGAGGAGGGGAAGCAATCCAAAACACATGGAACGGCGCCCAAAAAACACATGGGGTTTGCAACACTTCAATACTTCTTAGAAAAGCTTTTTGCACGGCATACGCGGGCAAGCTCGAAATACAACACCGAATTCAACAATATTATCAGAATCTCAATTTGTCTTGCCGATTACTCATCGTCTTCGCGTGAAGTCCCGACGCTGCTTCACGGCGGCGCCAAGGCCTCATGATTTCGCTCTTGCATTGCCCATTATCCGAGAGAGGGGGCCGGCGGTAGGGGGCGAAGCCCGTACGCGTAAAACACGTCATATTCCTAAACAAACGGGCGGCGGGGATAATAAAAATGGCGGCCGGACAGAAAAGCTCGTGTCAATCATTGCAAAATCCCGAAACCCCCCCCCAAAAAAAAAACGGACGGCGAATCTTCTATGCATCAATGCCGCGTGGTTCTGGCGAGCTGCGCTTGGGAATCAGACGCCTCGCGCGCGCTTCCGGGCTCCCTCGCCCAGCGCTCGCAAGCGCTCCCAAACGCAGGCTCAGGCACTCCCACGCGCCTCCTGGCGTTCCCAGGCGTTCGCATGCGCTCCTGGACGCTTCCCTCCCAGCACTCGCAAGCACTCGCAAGCGCTCGCAAGCGCGCGCAGGCGCTCCCAAGCGCTCGCATGCGCTCGCAGGCGCCCCCCGGGGCACTCGCTAGCGCCCGCGAGCGCGCGCGGGCGATCCCAGGCGCCGGAGCTCGCAAAATCATGTGAAAAAAACAAGCGCGGGGAACAGCCAACAAAATGGCGGCGTGGCCAAAATCAATTTGAAATGCCAGCGGCGGGGGAGGGGGAGCCCATTCAGTGCTGCAGTGAGCGTCAGAGAAACCAGGGCGACCAAACAACACAACACATGCTGTGTATGTTCTTTTTCAGCCATACAATCATACAAACTGTCTCTGTGGACGCTATGCGATGCAGCCTGCCATGGAATCCGCCCCTCCCCCCCCAGAGACTTCCAGAGTGGGGAACTTTAGAAAATATATACAGAAAAAACGAAACAACAAAAAAACAAAAATCAAAATCGGCAGCCTCTCCCCCTGGTTTTGAATTCAAAGTCGACAGCCTCTCCCCTTCATTTTCAAATAGAACTATATCTTCCAGAACGCCCAACGGGAAACTTAACCTTTTCAAGTTCCCTCTCCCGCGGCTAGGGAGTGAACCTTTTCAAGTTCCCTCTCCAAACCAATGACCACAAGCGGTAAATTGAATCTTTTCAAATGACATGTTCCGCGGCTAGAGAGTAGACCTTACCCCTCCATCTTGATGACAGGCGGGAAAATTGAGTTGTTTGAAAAACCGCTTCCTGCGGCTAGATTGTGAACCTTTCAAACTCCCTGTCCCACCCAATGACAACTGGGAAAGTGATCATGTTCAAACTCCCTTTCACGCAGCTAGAGAAGGAACCTTTTCAAATTCCACTTCCAACCCGATGACTGGCGTGAACGTGAAATTGTGTAAGTTCCTGTTACCCGCGAATAAAGAGTGAACCTCTTCAAATTTCCCCTCCAGCCCAGTGGCAGGTGGGAAAGAGAACCTTTCAAGTTCCAGTACCCGCAGCCAGAGAGTGAACTTTTCAAATTCCCCCTCCAGCCCAGACGCTAAGGGGAGAGTGCACTTTTCAAGTTCCCCCCCCCCCGCAGCTAGAGAGTGAACCGTTTTTATGCTCCCTCTCCGGCGCAGCGGACAGGAAGGAGGGACGGACGAAGAGAGGAGAGGAAAAAGCCTGGACACATCCCATTCGGGATGTACGGAAACAGTCCCGCAGACGACATGAAGCGCGGGACGGATGCGAGCCTTCGCTCTCTTTAGGACGAGGTCCCCAGCGTGAGAAGGTTCACCTGGCAAGGCTCAAAGGCCCACTCGGAGTAGTAATAGGATCTGCGGGCCCCACGGGGACGGGGCTCCTGGTCGAGGGTTCATCGCTGTTGCATCACAGACGAGCCCCCGCTCGAAATATCCTCACGAGCTGCATGACACGCTTGGATTGCAAATGCGAGGTGGGGGCCCCATAAGGACCGGGCTCCTGCTGGACACCTCCTCGCCACTCGCTCACCGACGAGGCGCCCGCTCGAGAGATCCTCACCGGTTGCCTGCTTGGGGCGCTCAAGTCGGATGCCTGCCACTGTATGCCGAAGACTCGCCCGGGTCAAGCACATGAGGCAGGGCCCCATAAGGAAGGTGGCCCCTGCTCGAGACGTCTTCGGTATTCGCTCACAGGCGAGGCTCCCGCTCGAGACATCTTCACGATTTGCCCCCCTGTGGTGCTCAAGTGCTACGCATGTTACTATGCGCCGATGACCCAGTCGGATTGGAAACACTTCGCGGGGAGACGGGGGCATAGGGGCGGTGCCCCCGCTCGACGACACTTCCTCGATATTCACCCGCAGACGAAAAACCCGCTCGAGACAGCATCCTTGCGATTCGCCCCCTTGGGGTGCTCAAGTGCTACTCTTGCAACAGCACGCCGATGACCCGCTTGGATTGAAAACGTGCGGTGGGCCCCCCAATAGGGACTGGACTCCCGCTCGAGGCTTCTCGCTATGGGCTTGCAGACGAGGCGCCCGCTCGAGACATCCTCACCATTTGCCTGCTGGGGGTTCTCTAGTGACAGCCTGCTACAACGCGCCGATGACCCGCTCGGGTCAAACGCATGAGATGGGGGCCCCGTGAGGAAGGGGCCCCCGCTCGAAAGGTCCTCGCGACTTGCGGAAAGACGAACGCCCCGCCCTAGACACCCTGACTTTTTGCCACCTTGGGGTGCTCCACTGCAACGCCTGCTAGACCGCGCCGATGACCCGTTCGGATTCAAGACATGAGGCGGGGGGCCCATAGGGAAGGGTCCCACTCGAGACTTCCTCGTTATCCACTCAGAAACGAGGTTCCCGTTCGGGGACCCTTCAATTCTCGGTATTGATGATGCTGGCGATGGTGATAAGAATTGGTGATAAAGCGTAGTAATGGATGATAGCGATGGTAAAGATGATGATGATGGTGTTGTTGGTGGTGGTGGTGGTGATGACGATGGCAGACGAAGGGCGGCGATGATGATGATGATGATGATGATGATGATGATGATGATGATGATGATGATGATGATGATGATGATGATGGTTATGATTATGATGATGATGATGATGGTGATGATGTTGATGACGATGATGGTGGCAATGGCTGTGGTGATGATGACGATGCTGATAATACCGATGATGAGGATGGTGGTGGTGATGCTAATGTTGATGATGACGATGACGACGATGATGATGATGACGATGCTGATGACTTGGGTGCGTTCCTGTTCCTGTCCCTGCGCGGGGGTGTCCAGAGAAACCCAAAAAAACGCGTAGGATATGGGGATGATGCACAACCTACGCGCTTCCAACCATCATGTGGTGTGGGGCCCTTGTTCAAAAAAATCCCTTCGCCTCCTCCTCATCGTCCTCCTCCTGTTCCTCCTCCTCCTCCTCCTCCTCCTCCTCGTCCTCATCCTCCTCCTCTTTCTCCTCCTCCTCCTCTTCCTCCTCCTCCTGTCACCCCCATACTTTGGCGCACCCCTCACACGCGTGGTGGCCCCAAAGGGAGCTACACTTAAGGCCCCATTGGAACGCCCGCATGCCGCCCCCCCCATGTTTACATGTTTCGAACGTTTTCGATGTTTGGCAACCCACTCACACATTTCGTGGCCCTATAGGGAGCTTCACCTAAGGCCCAAGTGGTTGCGCTTGCACGCCGCCACCCCATGATTTTGGCACACTCCTCACACGCTGCGTGGCCCCAGAGGGAACTACACCTCAGGCCCCACTGGCTGCGCCCGCATGCCGCCACCCTTTCAATTTGGCACACCCCTCACACGCTTCGTGACTTCATAGGGAGCTCTACCGAATGCCCCAGTAGCATGGTTCGCTTGCGTTTCTCCCACACAATAGAACGTTTTGTTGCCCCACAGGGGGCGCCACCGAAGGCCCCAGAGGCGGTGTTCGGATGCGTTTCCCCTGCCCAATATAACGCTTCGTGGCCCCATTGGGAGCTCCGCCGAAGGCCACACTGGCGGTGTTCGCATGCATTTCCTTCACCCAGTGCAACGTGTCGTGGCACCATGGGGAGCTCCACCGAAGGCCCCAGTGGCGGTGTTCGGAGGCGCTTCCCCAACCCAGTATAACGCTTCCCATTGGGAGCTCTGCCGAAGTCCCCACTGGTGGTGTTCGCATGCGTTTCCTTCGCCCAGCACAACGTTTCGTGGTCTCCCATAGGGAGCTCCACCGAAGGCCCCTGTGGCGGTGTTCGCATGCATTTCCCCTACCCAGCGCAGCCTTTCGTGGCTCCACAAGGAGCTCCACCGAAGGCCCCAGCGGCAGCGTTCGCCTGCGATTCTCCCACCCGGCACAGCGCTTCGCGGCTCCACAGGGAGCTCCACCGAAGGCCCCAGCGGCAGTGGCTGCGCCCGCACCCGCCCCTCGGCACACCCTTTGCGCGCTTCATGGCCCCATCAAGAGACCCACCGAAGGCGATGCCCACAACGGCGAGACTCACAACTGCACGTGGTTGGGCCCTTCGCCGATATAATTTTTCAACATGGAAGCCCTGGCGCCGGCATCGCACCAGCCGTCGCAAGAGTGAGGCGGCGCGCCCATCTCGCGCGAAACGGCGAAATGCCGCTCTCGCCCACGACGCGCTCACTTTTCCTGAGGCGCGAACTCCCGCCCGGGCGCGGCGCGAATTTTTCGCGCCGCAATTCGTCGACGCACAAGCGGATGAAAATGTTGCTCTCGCGCCGCGCAGAGTTTGTCTGGGAGTTGCGCCCCCATCCCGGCGAAACGCACGCGGCCGACCGCTCCTTTGTCGCTGGGGAGAGCACGCTTTCTTTGGCGGAC